CATTTCTTGCCAACAGTGAAGCACTTGTGCTATTTATACAAGGAACTTCTTCACTCCATGATCTTCTCATTAAAGAGATCACAAATTATGTCTATCCCGCTTTGTATGTGTGCAACAGATTGTAATAGCTGTGATAACCTTGCAGTAAAATAAATACTTTAAGCCCAAGGGATTAGTTGAGTGGTAAGACATCATGGATTCTGGCCTCATGAAGTCTTTACCCGAGTTCGATCTCCACCCAAAACTTTTTTCAGCCATTCCTAAGTATTTGTCTGGTAATTCTATGGTTTGTTTCAGGGTAAGAGATTGTCCATAGTGAGAAACTAGTCTGGTGGTCAACGATTTCAGGCTACTTTGTTATCCAATTATTATATCAAGCAGTTTCCCTTTATTATGTGTGCTCTGAGCAATGTTTTTTTTTACTGTTTTGAAAATATCAACTCTCATACTTCCAAGTAAATATGAATTCCATGACGTGGATGAAATATTACAAATGTTAGTACAGACTAAAATGAAATGTGGATGATATATGAATTCAGCTGTTTCATCTCGAGCTTGTGTTTTGCCTGCATTCTATTGGTTGTGATGCCTTCACTAGTCCCAATGCAGACAAGATCCTATCGAGTCCTGTTAGAGATAAATGGAGTTCAGGAACCATTAATATGTTTTATTTATGCTTGATGGAGTGGCATGACATAGCATTCCTTACATGCACAATGCATTTTCTTATTTTGGCAACCACTGAACTTGCTTTGCTTTAGGTTTTCCACTGTTTTGGCCAGTATTTCTGCCTCCATTTTGAAGCTTTCCAACTTGGGATGGCTCCTGTTTATATGGCATTCCTCAGATTCATGGGTGATGAGACAGAAGCTCGGAATTACAGCTACAGCCTGGAGGTTGGGGGAAATGGTCGGAAACTAATTTGGGAAGGCACACCACGGAGTATAAGAGATAGTCACAGGAAGGTTAGGGACAGCCATGATGGACTTATTATACAACGTAACATGGCACTTTTCTTCTCTGGAGGAGATAGGAAGGAGTTAAAGCTGCGAGTTACAGGACGGATATGGAAAGAACAGCAGAACCCCGAAGGTGGGGCATGCATTCCCAACCTTTGTAGTTAGGCTGATTTTCACTTTCTTGCTTTCTACTGTGTGCTCTATTTCCTGTAATACTGTTACTAAAACGCGGATCATTTTAAGAATCCTTATGTATAAAACTGGGGCCTAAGCTTTATAAATTGTTAATAAACTTCCTAAAGAAATTGCCCTGGCAATGTCGCTAATTCATAATTTTAAATTCTGACAGGCTAATTTAGAGTTGGAATTAATAAGAAAAACAGAGAAAGGTAAAAATTCGAGCAATCTCGTAGAAAGAAACTTGGATTTACTTGTATTTTGGTTAACTGGGTGTAGCTCATTGATTATTTTTTCAACAAAGATGATGTTTTGTTTTGTAAATAAAAAACTGGTGGTTGACCTTTTCTACTGGTCCGGTCAAAACGTGTGACATGGGGTCTTGATTTACCAGCTACGCCAGTTTCCACCATTAGCCTCCCTATTTCACTGTGTGCTTTTTCAGCGTGCTTCCTCGATTTGGATGCTGGCTTAAGTTGCTATACCGAGGGATGAGAAGGTAATTTTATATGCTTGTTTTTGTATTTTAAAAATATTTTTAAAAAATAAAAAATAATATTTTAATAAAAAACACGTTAACCAGCGGAAAGTTTTTCTTTTAAAAAAATTAATCATAATTAAGTTCATTAGACAAAATAAAATACCAGAAATCCTTTTTCTTTTTCTTTTTTAAAGAATGATAAGTTTACTATTCTAATCTTTATTCCACAAAAGCGTTATTGTACTCTTTTTCTATACTATTTTTTCATATACTAAAAAAGATAACCATTAAAGTGTCTTCCTTTTGATTTCCTTTCATTTGTTTGCTTGAGAGACATACCATAATAATTTTGAATTTCTTTCATTTATAAGGATAGTTCATAATTTAAATAACTTTTCTTATATTATTATTCCAAGTAAATTTAAAACATATTACAATTACAATAATGGAAGTTTTGGTTATATATATATATATATATATATATATATAGACACACACAAATATAAGTGATCAATCTTTTTATAAAAAAAAATTAAATAAAAAACAGTAGAATTTTGACTAAAAGATAAAGATATTTAAACTTAGCAAACCGCAACACTTTTTATTTTAATTTTTATTTTGGGTAAAAATTATTTTTTATTAAAAATATATTAAAATAATATTTTGTTAAAATTTACTTTTTTAATATTACTATATTAAAATGATTTAAAAACATAAAAATTAATTTAAAATAAAAAAATTCAAAACCTCTACATCTCTCGTCCATTTGAAATCTATCGATCTTTCACCCTCTTTAATATTTTTCTTCACTAATGGAGCTTCGAGATCCTCCACTTCCTAACAGCACTGGTAGTGCCCTCTATGTGATGATTCCGAGGAATACAATTTTCCAGGAAAAAAAAGATGTCATCTTCTTAACATGCTTATTTAAGAAAAACCAGCAGATTCCCAGAAGCATAATACAAAAACGATGCTGCTCGTAACTCCCAATGCCATGCACATGTACGATATTGCAAGTACAAATTCACGAATATATACCCATTATATCCACATAATTCAACAATTTAACTAGGCGGATCCAGCAGTCTTATCAAGGCGGTGATCCATGATTTATGCGACTGTTTCGAGGAAAGCAGCTTCACTTGATACAGCAAGTACGGAATCCTCTGCTTCTTCGACAATCTCTTTAAAAACAGATCCCTTCTTCAAGGTCTCTCTACACATCATACTACCAATGGTGAAAGGGGTGAGACCCCTCTCCACTCCATTCTTCAGGAGCATGGTGGAGATACGGAGAGTGCGCGCACATTCTACTGGCATGTCCCATCCATGAAACTTCAGAAAGGCAATATAATAAGGAAAAGATATCTATCTTGAAAGAAGAAAAAAAAATTCACTATGAGTTTTTATTAAATAAAAGTCATGGTGAATAGGTTGGAGCTTCTGATATTATTCTAAGAATATTTATAATATTAGAATATAAAAATTGATGCTTGAGTGTTTAAAATTTAATATCTCAGTGAAGTTAATTTATTTTTTAAATTTATTTTTTATAATTAATTTTAATATTTATGACTGTTGGAATTTTTTTATAATTAATTTTAATATTTATGATTGTTAAAATAAAATTAAATAATAACTATTCAGTTTAATTTAAAATATAATTGTTTCATTAACAATTATATAGTTTTATTAATAGTTATAATATTAACAAATTTAACATTTCCTTATAATATTTAAAGTCTAACAAGCATGTTACTATATAAAGAAAATATATACAAAAAAAATAAACACGCTTTCTTTTCTTTCTCTTTTTTTTATATATTTTTAGATGTTCTTTTCTTTTTCTTTTTTTTTATATATTTTTAGAGGTTTAGAGAATTTAATTGTATCTTGAAAATATTATCTATATGTGAGACAAATATACATTTTAAAAACAATGTTTTTATATCTCTAAACTAACTTTTTATTTGTTTCCATTTATCAATAATTTCTTCAACAATTTTAAGGAATTCATTTGAAGAAGAGAAATATGAATTCAAGCATCACGGTTGCTAAAGATGTTAAGATTTACTATTATAGATAATTATTTTGAGTGATAATAAATTCTACTCTTTTATAGATTGTAAATATTTTTAAGAGTTTGGATAATATTGTTTATGTAATATCTTTGATTTTCTAACAGAAGTTTTGGTTTAATATTTGGACACCAATAATTTTAGTAGGATTCAAGTTTTAACACTAATTGAAGATTTAAATTACAAAATATCTTCTTAGTTTTAACACTAATTGAAGGTTTAAATTACAAATTACCTTCTTGCAAGTATAATTCTATCAAGTGAAAAAACATTTATTACAAACTAGTGAGAGATTATTGATGTAATTTGTAAATAAATAAAGAAGAAAAAAAATATTTATCTCATATTAAAAAAAAACTTATTTTTAAAGTGTTTGTAAGTATAAGTTTTTATTGTATAGTAAATTAAGTGAAAATCATGTTGAATGAATTCTCCTAATAAGTTTTCTAATACTATTATATGAATATTTATAATATCAAAAAGGTGATACTTAGTAATTGATCACTTGGAACTTAATGTGTCAATGAGATTAGCTTGTTTTTTGAATTTATTTCTTTAATTTTTATAATTAATTTTCATATTTATAATTGTTGAAATTAAACTGAATAAGTTTCCTAATACTATTATATAAATATTTATCATATCAAAAAGATGATACTTAGTAATTGAGCACTTGGAACTTAATGTGTCAATGAGATTAGCTTGTTTTTTGAATTTATTTCTTTAATTTTTATAATTAATTTTTATATTTATAATTGTTGAAATTAAATTGAATAAGTTTCCTAATACTATTATATGAATATTTATCATATCAAAAAGGTGATACTTAGTAATTGAGCACTTGGAACTTAATGTGTCAATGAGCTTGTTTTTTCAATTTATTTCTTTAATTTTTATATTTATAATTATTGAAATTAAACTGCATAAGTGCTAAGTTTAATTTATTTTTATATTTATAATTGTTGAAATTAAACTGCATTAAGTGTTAAGTTTAATTTAAAATATAATTATTTTATTAATAGCTATATAGTTTCATTAAATGATATAATGTTTTATTATAATATTTCAAATCTAATAAACATGTTATTACACAAAACATACACAACAAAAAAAAAAAACAAATGCCTTCTCTTTATTTTTTTTCTCTAGAAGTTTAAAGAACTTAATTATATCATGGAAGGATTGTTTTTATATAGAACAAATAAATAACTTAAAAATAATAATTCCACACCTCTAAACCAACTATTTATTTGTTTTCATTTATAAAGAGTTTCTTCAACAAATAAATAGACATTGAGAGAAGAATTATAATCAAAATGATGATTTTAATTGATAATTAATTTTGTGATTAAAGAATAAAAGCATCTCAAACAATCCATCCAGTTCTCAAGTCCTAGTGTCCTTCAGTTCCTGGAAAAAAAAATGTAAAGATACATTGAATTCAGCAGGCCATCTACGAATGAATCAAGGAAGTTAAACATGAGAGTTGCCGTGTCCAAAATTGCCTGCAGAAACGGATTCTAGTTTACCACTAAGCAACCTTGGCAACATACACAGGCTACCAAGATGCCAAGCAAAGCTCCAGCTAGAACTTGTGATGGGTTATGTCCCAGAAGTTCCTTGAGCTTTCTTTGACTGATAGGATGCCCTTGAAACAGGTCCTCAACGATCATATTAAGAACCTATGTTAGGCAGGAAATGTACGTGTTAGTTCCATAACGATGAAAGACTAAATCATTCTTCACAAAAAGCGAGAGAGAGAGAGAGAGACTATCAAATGTAGACAAGCTATACTAAGCTTGAGAAAAGAAAATGGTTAATTGTGTATCTCTAACAGGAGGACTGAAGTAGAAACTGTCATGCTAATCCACATATAAAACGTCCTATGCAATGAATGAGAAGGAAAAGGAGGGTTTAGAAGGCAGAGAGTTATAGCACATTGTGCTTGGAACTTCAAAATGCGCATCCATTAGCCTCAAGAATGGATACAAAGCTTCCTTACCCCACAAAAGGCACAAGCTTCAAGTGCTGAATTAATTATCCACCAGAAATGCTGTTCAGTATGATACCAAAAAATTGTAAGATCTAGTACAGAGAAAGATACTACTCAACGTAAAGCATGCAACCATGCATTCTTCCAGTTTTGCATTAATGAGTCATCCGAGTGCCAGGCATGTAACACTGATAGTTTCGCATTCATTACTACGAAAACTAGCTATCACTTTAATAAAATTTCTCTCAAAGTCAACTCAACTGTACTCATTTATAAGGTACCGTAAAATAAGGTACCGTTTACGGTGAGATAGCTATTATTTTTTAAAGTTTTTTTCCCTTAAAAATCTATTAAAATAATATTTTTTATTTTTTAAAATTTATTTTTAATACCAGTACATCAAAATAATTTTAAAAAAAAAATTCAAGTTTTGAAAAGCATGGCATGGCCGCAATAACAACCAGGTCCTAGATTCACAAGACTGTTGGTATTAAGATAGCTTCTATTTTTTGCTAACGACAAAGAAAAAATTGTTAGATTAGACAAATAGCTTCTGCTTTGTAGTCAAAGCCCCCCCCCCCCCCATACATAGTTGCGTTTCAAATCTTGTTTTTGTTGAAGCTATAATAATATGTTTTTCATTCATAAAGACTTGCTTTTTATTTATTTTGCATACAAAAATCCATCTCTGAGCAGTTTTAATTAAACAAATACTTTTTAAATTTTAATTTTTTAAAACTGCAATTAAAAGTATTTTTCTTAAACTTATTTTTTTTTAAATCACAACCACAAAAACTACCAAATTGACAGACACAAAATTAATACCTATAATCATGACATAAGCCGAGCCAGTGAGCATAAATAGCAGAATTACAAACATAATGCATAGAAATCAGATCAACACAGCTGATGTGACATTTATTGTAGTATCTCTTCTGCTTAAGCACCAACGACTTCCAATCCAACAACAGCGTAGCTTTTGATCTAGCAACAAGCACATACAAACTCAGGAAATTATCCAGCTAGTGGAGACAAAAATTAAGTCTGTGAACTTTACCTTTCAAAACTTATCTCAGACTAGCTTTAAATAAATTAATACTTGTCTCTAACTTAGATTAGTTCAGTTTTTAAGAGCTTCAGACCATCTGTTGAAAATCCTTCTCAAACACAGAGGACGTTAATTTACCAGCATTATAAGTCTGATCAAGCATCCAATTAAGAAACATAAGACTGATTATTCTACCCAACCTCATACTATACTACAATCCTTACTGACATTTGCACTGTACTCAATTCAAGTGAAACACTCTCAGGAAAAGCATTTGGCATGGCATCTGCTTGTCATGGCTTATGCCTAATTAATATACACATTCAAAGCAAATTGCCCCACTGCATCATGAAGTCTGGAAGAAGAGGAAGACCTCCCTCCAAATTCAATCCCCCCTTTGAGAACGAAGTTTGAGTATAAGCCAGAATTGGATTCCCTAAAAACTTAATACCATATCCAAACAAAATAATGGCGATGTTAGGCAATGGATTGCACAGTATAGTGGATTCAAGCCTTTGAACACAGATGATCATCAATCTTTTTTCCTTTAAATCTCATAACCTACCCACTCATCCTATTTCAAATCATAGCCATATAAAGAAGCTCCACTGGCAGGGGACCAGCTAGTCTTATTGTATTCTGAAATTTACTCATTTTTCCCAAGCGAATCATGCCATTCCTGATACAAATTGACCACGAGGGGAAGCAACACGGAAAATCAATCTCATTAAGCTTGTACAAAGCTTTAGGTCAAATCAACGATCCAATCTAGGAACACCTCCAAAAAAAAAAAAAAAACATTAAATGTTCTTTCAAGAAGCACAACAGAGTTACCCGACCAACGTTTGGGGAACAACAACCACAATTATGACAACCATAGCAATGCAACATAAGAAGACTACGCATAAAAATGTGAAATTTCACCAACAAAACAATTACTTTGTCAACAAAGCAGCAGCAACAAAAGCAACGCAGCAGTAGAATATCACGCATAAAAATACTAAATTTCACCAACAAAACAAATACTCTATGTTCACCAAAGCAAACATAATGAATAAACCAAACTAATTCACTCCTTACCTCAGCTTGCATCCCAGCATGACGCCTGACACCAATTGCATCATACATAACAATAAGACTAAACCCCAAACAAACAGGAAATAACGAATCAGCCACTCCATGACAAAACGCAACTGATGTTGTCAAAGCAGTACACAAAGCAGAGTGGGAAGACGGCATCCCTCCGGAGGCAAAGAATATTCTCAAATCCCATTTCCTCTCCACAAAAAAATTCAAAAACACTTTCATTGACTGTGCAATAAACCAAGCAAACAAACCCGATATAAAAGTTGGGTTTGCAGCTAATGTTGCCACAAAAGGACTGATCTTTACTTTCGCATGCGATGTTATACTCAATAAAGCCAATCCAAACGCTCCATTTAGCATAAAATCCCCGTTGTGTTCACTCACCACCTTCTCCGAGTCATCACTGTATGCTTGTAGCTGTGAAGCCCATTTTTTTGTTCGTGAAGAAGCTAAGGCTTTGATGTGTTCAATTATCGGGACCAAAGCCCGCAAAGGGTTTGATAAAAAAGTTCTGTTATTTTTGTTTCTTGGTTTTGGGTTTTGATGATTTGAAGGGTTTTTATACGAAAAACAAATTGGAGAGTTTTTGAATTTGGTAAGATGAGTGGACTTGAAAAATGAAAAGTGGCCAGAACACCAAAGTTTGGTTCTTGGGTTTGTGGGAGTGAAGCAGAAAGAGTTAAAGATGGGTTTGGTGAGTGTTAGAGAATCCATGAGAGGAAGTATTCTATCATTCTATTCTATGACTGAGTTGTTGAGTTCAGTCTGCATTTTAGTACAGAAGGGTCTAGACTATAGAGAGGGAATGTGAGGCTGAGTTGAGACTCGAGAGTTTTCTCGCAAATAGCTCGGCTGTGTGATTGGATAGTGACAAAAGGTCATCTAGTTGCCGATAACCTCCAAATAGTCCCCAACTAATTAAACCCTTCAATTGCATCCTCTACTTTCAATTTAAACAATATGATTATATCACATACAAAATATATTAAAACTTAATACCCACAAATATTTATTAATAAAATAACATACCTAATATATTAAGAACAAAATTTAATCTAAACAAAAAGAATAATAGTTATATAAATAAAGTAATATAAAACTATTAACTGTGAAAAAATAATAAAATTTAATCAAAAATATTAAAAAATATAAATTTTTTAAACTGTAATCATATTTACATTCTTAGTGGTCATGATATAGAAGTCATTAATATTATTTAAAGGCCATTAACGCTTGTAAATTATGCTATAGCCTAAAAAGAAGATAAAATTACGGTTATGGATTTCTTTCTCAAGATCATGATCCGTTGTTAACACGAAACTTGATAAATACATAATTTCTAAGGTTATGGTCAAGCTAAAACTTGTTTTGGAGGCAATATTGATAAATTTGTGATTCTTTTTAGGATAATATTGCTTGAATCTCTAATCAGGGGATGTAATTGGAATTTTCATAATAGTTGGATGACCTATTTGAAGGTATTCCTCTAATTTATACAGATGGTGGAGAGAGAGTCTTTGGTTTATCTTATTATAACAAAGATGCAATTGCATCGCTTGACTGACATCGAATATGCCATTGGTTTGTGCGTAAAGAAATGCGGACTCTTGACAATTGGACCACACCAGTCGCCATTGGAGGGAAGGAAATGCGGACTCTTGACAATTGGACCACTCCAGTCGCCATTGGAGGGGAACAAATTTCAAGGTGGGAAGCTCCAGGACTGGAATGTCCATTGCTAATCAAACAGAGAGAAGGAACAAGAAGCACTACGGGTGTTAAAAAGAACCGGCTCATATGTAATATTTATATTATTTAACATGATCTAACCTATTTATGAATAAAATTAAATAATATAAATATTATAAACGCTAATAAATTAAAAAAATATTATGGATTGGATTCCGAGTAAAGATTTTTAAAACTCACTCAACATGATTTCTCTTGTATACCATACACTTTTTTTATATATACATTTAATAGTTTGTGGATTATTATTTTATCTAGAAATGTTTCGGCTCTAAAATTATGTTATTCAATTTCCTAGTAGATTTTTTTTAACGTAACAAAAAAAGTTTATATCTTTGCTGGAGAAAAAGGGTGGGTAACTATAATTTAATAGTAATGCAATGTATAGAAATTACACTTAAGTATGATGCATCTATAATTCATATTATAGATTTATTTTTAATTTTAGATTCATTAAAATTAGCAATATAAGCTTAACTAATGAATATTTATAATATCCATACAAAAATTGATTCAACCCGACATATTTAACCCACTTAGATCTAAAAAAATTAAATACATCAAATTTATAATATATAAAATATTATAAATTGAGTTGAATATAATTATAGACTCAAACTCAACCCAACTATATTCATAAACACCCTTATAATGTATTGTTTTCCAAGCTCTAAATTGTAAATATTTTTAATAATTTAAAATATAAATATAATTTTTTTAATTTTTAATTTTTAATAATTTAAAATATAAATATAAATATAAATTTTTTAAATTTTTATTTTATTTTTTCATAATTATTTTTAAAATAAAAATTTATTACGACCATGAAGAAATTAATATTATATATAAAACTAAAAGACGTGAGGAAATCATTATTCATCCATACTCATTAAACTGTAAATTACAATAATAATCCAAAATGCATTACTTTTTTTTTATTATTTTGTTTGCACTTTTTTTTTCACTTTTGTTTTTTTACCACTACCAGTGTCCTGCTTTTCTTCTTCTTCTTTTTTTCTTATTGTACTTTCCTTTTTTTCCTATAATTATCTTTGTTAATTGTACTTTTTTAATATTAAGTTGCTTAAAAATTTTGTGTTGTAATTTTTTCTCTTTAAAATATTGTGGATTGCTACAATGTTTTTTTATATGGTTTTTCTATTTGATTTTTTTATTTTTAAAAATTTTATTTATCAATTTTATTTTTTTAATATTAAGCTGATTGAGAATTTAGTTTTGTAATTTTTTTCTTTAAAACATTGTTGATTGCTACAATGTTTTTCCACATGGGTTTTTTATTATTTTTTTATGATTTTTTCTAAAATTATCTTTTTTATTTTATTTTTTAATATTAAGCTGATTAAGAATTACAGTTATAATATGTGAGAAAAGCACCTTAGTTTTCCTCACAAATTATTATGGATTGCTGTAGTATTTTTTTCACATGGTTTTTTATGTTTTTTCTAAAATTATCTTTGTTAATTTTATTTTTTAAATATGAAGCTGATTAAGAATTACAATTACAAGTAAGTACAAGTAAGGCTAAATCATGTGGAGAAAATAATCTAACTTTTCTTATAAAACACTATGAATTGATACAGTTTTTCCTCACATGATTTTTTTTTTCAATTTCTTTTTTTTTTGTAATATTTTTTTTCAAAATTATCTATATTGATTTTATTTTTTTAATATTGAGCTAGTTGTAATTTAACTTTGTAATAAAACTTAATCATGTGGGGAAAACATTGTAAGTTTCCTCACAAAACATTGTAGATTATTATAGTGTCTCTGAACATATTTTTTTCTCTTATGATTTTTTTAAAATTATCTTTTTTAATTTTATTTTTTTTAATAATTAACTAATTAAGAATTGTAATTATAAGTCATTACAAATAAGGCTAAATCATGTAGGGAAATATTATAACTTTTATCACAAAACACTATGAATTGCTACAATGTTTTCAATATGATTTTTTTCTGTTTTTTTTATTATATTGTTTTCTAAAATTATCTCTGTTGATTTATTTTTTTAACGTTGAATTGATTGAGAATTTAGTATTGTGATTTTTTTTCTTTAAAACACTGTGAATTCCTGTAGTGTTTTCCCATATGATTTTTTATGATTTTTTTAAAATTATTTTTGCTGATTTTTTTAATATTGAGTTGGTTGAGAATTATAATTATAATAAAATTAAATCTTATGAGAAAAGCGTTATTATTTTCCTCACAAAACATTGTGGATTGCTACGGTATTTCTCTAAATGGTTTCTTTTATAAATTTTTTTTAAAATTATATTTATCGGTTGATTGAGAATTTAACTTTATAATTTTTTTAAAAGACTGTGAATTCCTATATTTTTTCCCACATATTTTTTTAATGATTTTTTCTAAAATTATCTTTGTCAAATTTTTTTTTTAATATTGAATTGGTTAAGAATTATAATTACAATTAAACTAAATCATACAGAGAAAACATTGTTGTTTTTCTCACAAAATACTATGGATTGCTATAATATTTCTCTAAATGGTTTTTTTATAATTTTTTCTAAAATTATCTTTGTTGATTTTATTTGAGAAAGCATCGTAATTTTCCTCACAAAACATTATTAATTACTATAAAGTTTTTCCTCAACGGTTTTTTTCCTTATAAAATTATTTTTATCGATTTTTTTTAATATTAAGTTGGTAGAAATTTAGTTTTGTAATTTTTTTTACTTTTTATTAATAGAAAAGCTACATCATGTAGTGAAAACATTATATTTTTCCTCATAAAATATTGTGGATTGGTACAAATCATTTTGTTTATCACCAACACAACTTTTTTTCCTGTCATGAAATATTAACTCCATCATACATTTAGTTTCTATTACTTATCGAATATTGGTTCACAAATATAATACTATCAAGTACATTTGTTTTATAAGTTTGTAGCAACGCACGAGTATGCCTTCTCGTGTAAGTAAAATGTAATCATATTTTATAAAAAAGATTTGACAATAACACAACGTTTGTCAGAGAAAAGCTAGTAATTTTTTTTTCTTATATACTTGATAATTATGCATGTTTTTAGCACAAATACACCAAGAATATGAGATTAATATAAATAGATGGATGAAAGTTTAATAAACTCCTTGATTGTAAATATATTTCTTAGAAGGCTAGAAACCTACATTTTCTCAATCTTGACTTACCTAATCTTACCCCAAAAAATATCTCTATGTTTCTTTAAGTTTCCAATTCCTTTCATGCATATATAATTTTTTTTATGCATAACATCTTTTTTATGACAAGTATATAATAGCAAAATATTATAAAACATTATAGCCAATAACAACCATTAACATTTCTACTAATAAAAGTATGACACAATTACTAATAACTCCTTTCTAAAAAAGCATTTTCCTTTTCATAAAACAAGTTAAAAACTAAATGTATAAATATATTCAATTACCAAAGCAAGGAGAGAAAACTTTACCACATAAAAATTAGTCATCCGGCTTTGTCAATGCCATAATATCTTACAACCATCAACCACACAATAATTTTAGAAACCACTATCAACATCCAATAGTTCCATAAACTAAATCAATCACCTAATAATTCTATAAAACACCAATAACTATTTAAAATCTAGAATTATAAATAACCACCCAACAATTTCTAGAATGTTCATATTCATATCCTTATCAAGGGTTTTACTGGCTCAAATTTAGAACTGATAACCCTAAAAAAAGAACAATTTTTTAAGAAGAAAAAAAAATAAAAATAGATTTATTGATAATTGATTTGCATTAATAAGAACCAAATTGTGGAGTTTGATTTCAACATTATTGTAATTATAAATTATGGTGGCAATTTTGTTATTTTGATGCTCTAAGAATTTTTTAGTTATTAAATTGAATATAATTGCAAAGTTGTAAATAAAAAGATATTTTTATTGATTCTTTTTAGGATGCTAAGTGTTAACACGTGTATAAAGTTCAAAAAAGAATATATAATTTCTAAAACCTTAGATTGAAAATGAAAAATAAACTAAAATATAGGAGGTTTTTGTAATTTTTTTTCTTCTCAAGTTTTTCTAACATATATAGAACATTA